AGAATGGACAGTACTACCGAAAGAATACGATACTGTATGAGCAGACCAACTGACTTTGGCTAGTAGCTTTCATTCAAATCTTATATTTGTATATAACTGTTACTATTATTATAACCTATCATTGTCACTATCAGGATTATTATTAGAATTAGTAGTTATATTATTATTATCATTATTATTATTGTTATAAGGATGGATATCGTTAGTGTTTCATGTTATTATCATTAGGATTGTACTTTTATTTAAGTAGTATCATTGATATGTCCTAATCGGAATAAGTATTCCTTCACATACATTGAAAGTGCTGAAAACAAGGGAGAGATGTAGTATCCAGTAATTATGAATAAACGGATCAGAAAGACATGAGTGAATCATCACCATCGCAATGCGGATAGGTTGAAATAATGATAAGGAGATTCATTAGTGTCTGGACGATCGGACAGTGTACATCGGTGTTTAATTGTGTTACCCAATCCCAGTATATTACACATTACACAATCTATCAGTAGTATGAGGAAGCAAATAAGAATACAGGGTCGTTTTTTCATTCGGCATTCAAAAACGGCGCCTTTACTCAGATTTTAGATCATAGATACTAAACAGAGCAAGCTAAACAGGGTGTATACCGTGTGACAACAAAATCATTGACTAGGACGTCATTCAGTTGTTTATATGATATAGAATTTTGACATTTGAATATATCGTTCCTCAAAACCAAAATTTTCCTTGAAAAAAATTGGAAATTACTTCCGGACATATCGCAAGTGGACATTTGTATCTAAAATGGCGGCGCAAGTTATTTTCTCTAAAATCAATATGGCTACCCTGTGACGTCATTGATCGAAATTTCGTCAAGCTATACCTAATAAAATAACGAATAAACGAAGCACTTCGACTAGTTTTTGGTGAAACCACTGGCGTAAACAGTATATACAGGGACTCTAGCGTAAACTAGCCATCAGAGCTGAGGGAGGGGGGCTTAACAACACGGGATCTTGCTGGTGCATCCCGCTAAGGTCCTACAAATGTCCCAATGTTTGAGACTTAGGTACGATATCCCAGAGATGTTTCTCTTGGGACATCCATCAGATGTTTTCATTGGATGTTCTAGAAGATCCCATTCGATCTTTTTTTATGAACAATACCATGGTTCCATATTTGCTAATGATGATTGACATGATTGAATAGTTCAAACAATTGTGACATTTGAAACATTGAAAAGTTGGTAAAAAATGGAAATCAAAACTGAATTCGTACTCATATACTTAAACGTATATACCAACGCCGGCTAATCTCATCGATAACAAATTGAAATAATTATACTAAATATGCCTCAATAAGATTACAAAAGTACCTGCTTAACTTCATGAACCATGTAATAAACGACAAAATTGAAATACAGTTCTCAACACACCAAATGGACCACTCATAATTTGACTCTATTTCGAAGACCTGTATTTTTTTAAAAAATTTACCGATCTTCATGCGGCTTTCGATATCTGATGTGATGTTTCATCGACTTCAAAGAGAGCTAGAACAATCTGAAAAAGTTCGCAAAACAAAACTCACACAGGGTGTAAAGTGGAACCATTACACTATGGTCTACATTTCCAATGCTGCCAGAACTCGAGAAATTTTTTTCTGATCAAAAGTCAGTCATATTATGATACACTGGGAACTCATCTCGGGACGTTTTCGTGATTTCTCCTTAATTGGCCATTGAAACAAAAATTCGATTTCTTTTCGAAAGTGTTGCATTTCTTGAACTCCACTTGAGCTGACTGTTGGGAAGAACTGTTCTCATGTTTTGTGAAGGATAATGAAAGACGAAAAAAGCACTTTTTTGGATTAAACAGGATGATAAGAAACTAGGACAAAATCTCATTTCAGTGAAAAAAATCAAAAATGGTGACTAAAACTATGGCCCATTCGATCCAGTATATTCAGAAACGGCCTTCTCGATATCCATCATTTATATTAGACTACTAACTCGAGATGTTTTCGAAAATTCGCCTCTAAGTGAAATACAGGATGAAATTTTTCAATTCAAACTTGTTTCCTGATATCGATGATTTTCAATATTTATTGCTCAAGTATGAGAAACAGAGAATTGTTGTTCAATATACTGAGTGTTTTACAACTACGATATTACATGAGAAGTCTATCACAAAAAAATTTAATAGAAGTGAAACGCGATGGAAAACAAAATTTGTAACACTTTATATCAACTAAAACTATTCGAAAAGGGTGATAAGAAAATAGGACAATACAGGGTGAAAATTTTCAATTCAAACTTGTTTCCTGATATCGATGATTCTCATCATTTTATCAACGGATTTCCAATATTAATTGCCCAAGTATGAGACACAGAGCATTGTTGTTCAATATATTGAGTGTTCCACAACTTATCTGACAAATTACGAACTCTAGAAAACAATAATGTTAGAAGAATGTGGTGACCAGCATTATCTCCAGATCTGAATTTGATTGAACATGTGTGGAGCCGAATGAAACTTGACCTATCGAGAAGGCGAGGCACCCCAAAATAATGACAACCTTATCCAGAATGGGCGGCAATATCAATAGACTTCATCAACAACCTCATAAAATCTATGCCAAACCGATTTCATGAGGTTTTGTTGAATCGGGGAGGCCTACCAAGTACTGAAATTTAGGATATAGGACTTTCTAGTTGGATCTTCAAAATGCTGAAGAATTCAATAATGTCATATTTCGCCAATAGAGCCCTTTTAGAATAGTTTTAGTGGATATAAAGTGTTACCAATTTTATTTTTCATCTCGTTTTACTTCTATAATTTTTTTTTGTGATAGACTTCTTATGTAATATCGTAGTTGTGGTTGAAATTTGTCAGATAAGTTGTAGAACACTCAGTACATTGAACAACAATACTCTGTGTCTCATACTTGGGCAATTAATATTGGAAACCATCAATATCAGGAAACAAGTTTGAATTGGAAATTTTCATCCTGTATTTCATTTAGAGGCGAATTTTCGAAAACGTCTCGAGTTAATGGCCTAATATAAATAATGGATATCGAGAAGGCCGTTTCTGAATATACTGGATCGAATGGGCCATAGTTTTAGTCACCATTTTTGATTTTTTTCACTGAAATGAGATTTTGTCCTAGTTTCTTATCATCCTGTATAATCCAAAAAAGTGCTTTTTTCGTCTTTCATTATCCTCCATAAAACATGAGAACAGTTCTTCCCAATAGTCATCTCAAGTGGAGTTCTAGAGAAAAAAATCAAGAAATGCAAGACTTTCGAAAAAAAATCGAATTTTTGTTCCAATGGCCAATTAAGGAGAAATCACGAAAACGTCCCGAGATGAGGTCCCAGTGTATCATAATATGACTGACTTTTGATCAGGAAAAAATTTCTCGAGTTCTGGCAGCATTGGAAATGTAGACCATAGTGTAATGGTTCCACTTTACACCCTGTGTGAGTTTTTGTTTTGCGAACTTTTTCAGATTGTTCTAGCTCTCTTTGAAGTCGATGAAACATCACATCAGATATCGAAAGCCGCATGAAGATCGGTAAATTTTTTAAAAAAATACAGGTCTTCGAAATAGAGTCAAATTATGAGTGGTCCATTTGGTGTGTTGAGAACTGTATATCTCTTCAGCATATTTATTGCTGATGGCGGTACAACTACGTTGCTAAGAGTTATTAACAGCCGTCGGCCCAGCGTCAACAAATAATATGAGCCTCAAACAACTGTTATCATCTTCCATTAGTTATTGGACCGCACCGACCTTATATATTCGGACTCGGATTGTAACTTTATATCTGAAAATAGGTCGGCCATTTTATGGATATCAGATTGAAAATAATGCATACCGTGTCATCCATTACTGTCATCAAACAAAAAACATCCAAAAAGTCTCGTTAAGATGTTCTATATCAAGTACCCTGGTCTCTGGTACATCCCGTATCATCCCACAAACATTCTGATATGGGATGTTTATAAGACATCGCAAATGCTGACACGGGTGTTGCCAGCAACATCCCAAGAATGTCCCAAGGAAAATAGGGATTTTCCAGAGATGTTCCTATCATCCCATATGGATGTTTCTACGATGTCTTACAGATGTAATTGTGTTATTGAAAGGACATGGTATATTATAATGATGTGATCTAGGATACCTATAGCCTATTTATGAATTATTTAAATGGAAATAAATCCACAACCGGGTGAGCTTTTTAAACGTACATAATTATCACCTGCTTAACACGGTTCCGAATTTAAATAATACGCAGTCCGAAAGGTATAAAATTAAATAGTATCTATAATAGCTTCAAAGAATTATCTCTCAAATTGGAATTCTTCAATATAATGAATTTTCCTGATCTCTCTATTACTTTTTCGACTATGTGATCAAGTCTACCATATGTAATCGCTCATACCATTGGCAGGAACTGGTGGAGTGTTTCTCCACTGAGTGTATTGTATATTCACCTATGTTTAACACATGCGAGTGAGAAGGAAACATATACACATTGAGTGCAGAAACACTCCACCCGTTCCTACCAATGGAATTCAATGATAGAAAAAGTCAGTCAAAAGCAGAGTAGTTTCACTGCAAATTTGACTAATTCTAAGCCACTCATAAACTATATTTTCCAATTATATTGACAACTGCTTATCAAAATTAAATAACTATACATGGTGATAATTATTATGTACAGCGTACAAATAAATATTCTCCAACAGTCATGATTCCTATTGGTTTACATGAAAATAATAACGAGAACTTGAGAAAATACATCAGGCACTTTTTATCCTATGCTTAGACATTCATTAAGCCCTCTATCCCAAAGGCAGAGCATTTTCGAACTAGATGTTGTGTGGGAACTATTTTCTTATTTTGTCACTTGAATTGAGGAACACCCTGTATAAATTGTATACTACTATCGCAGCAGTAGGTATTGAATACCGTTTTTTTCGTGCACAAAAAGCTGTTTCTGCGATTCCCCAAAAAAATTTTGGATTCTCACGTTTGACCTCCAATTCAATAAGAATAATATATGACATCGTCATGATTATTGTATATGTATAAAATCTATTTTTCAAGTGAAAAGTAACATAATGTGATATAGATAGATATTATGATATCTATCAATTATGTATGTATTGAAAAATTAATTTTTTTTGTGAGTGGAAACATCGTTGATTGCTGGTCAATAATATACGTCTTCATAATTGATCTGAGTGAGGAATTTATTCCAAAATGATGTAAGTAAACATTCTCAATTAACTTCCATTATTGTTATCTTGAAAACTAATTTTTATTATTTATATACAGAATTTTAATTTGATACGTATAAATTCAGTAATCAAGAGAAGCGTAATGTTCATGGATGATTTACATATGAAAATTATCGTACGAATATTGCAATTATCGTAATAGTAAAACTCTCTCAGCTCTAGAAGAGATTCATTCTTCAGAATTTTACAATATACCCAGTATATAAACCTAACTTATTTTGACGTTGTCAATCAATCTGATGGTTGTTGTCTATAGCAATACATCCAATAAACGAGCTGAATTGTCATTCTTTGATCGAAAAGTAAAATTATTGATAATAATAATAGCGAGACTATGGAATCGGATGAAGAAGAAGTTTATGATATACCGCTGGATATATCAGAATCTAGGAATATGATCATAGGTTTTTCATAAATTGATATGTGGATATAAGGTAACTGAGAACAGCGGGCGGTAAAGTGCGACTTAACGCCCGCAAAACCAGGCGGTAAAGTGCACTTTACGGCCCGCTAGTGCATAATAGTTATTTATGTATCAAGGGCGTAATTTGTATTTGTTACGTATAAATTCAGTAATCAAGAGAAGCGTAATGTTCATGGATGATATACATATGAAAATTATCGTACGGATATTGCAATTATCGTGATAGTAAAACTATCTGATCTCTAGAAGAGATTCATTCTTCAGAGTTTCCCAATATGCATACCCAGTATATCTCTACCTGACTAGTTTTGACGTTGTCAATCAAGCTGATGGTTGTTGTTAGGGTCCCTTGATGGAAATTGACGTTAAAGTCATCTTAACAGGGTACGGACAGATCCTCGTCTCCTCTCACTCTAAAGTGTTTGTGAAACAGTTATATACTTCCATCCTTATTCAATTCTGGGGATAAACACTAGATTTTTGACATTCGTTGTGTTTTAGGTTATATTGAGGTCACTGGCGTATCATACGTAATTTACATATGGAATTCCTGATTCAACTATACCAAGATATAGATGAACAATCCTCTAGTTTTAGAGTTTACTACTCCAGCATAATCTTTGCGATTCAGGGATCATATAAATTGTACTGAAAGCTTAATATACTTCACCAAAAGAGACTGTTCTTAGACTGTATACCAGGGTTGACTGAATGAATTCTGATTTCAAGCTGAGCATTAGTCTATCTATGAGCTGAATGAGCTGAGCCTTATGATTGAGAAATGGTGGAAACCTCGATGTGGGTATCTAGACTACTGTACTCATGTCATGTGTGCTGAATATATTTTCAGAAATCCAACTCGGAGAAGAATTTATGGAGTTACTATAATATCACACTATGTACAAAACTTCGTCTAGGACAAAAAGTAGACTGATAAAAATTAATACGTAAAATGTGCAGGGAAATAAGGAATAGAATATACTTCACCCTCATGCTATACACATGATTTTTCTGTCTCTTTTAAATGAAAAGTCATTTTCGAATAATTTATTGATGAAAGTAACAAAGAAGTAGGCATACGCTGAGTATACGCAGTATAACTTCATTTTCACTCTTGCATCCTACATATTTTCTATTTGTGGTAGAGTTATAATTATATAAACTAATGTCTTTCGCCATATTGAATCCGTCATCTTGAATTTTTTAATTTTGACGAAACAATCATTATCTCCTACCCCGCAAACCCCCAACTACCAATTTTGAATAGAATCGGATCTTCATTACAAAACTCTTCCACCATATTGGATCCGCCATCTTGAAAATCGAAATTTTGACGAAATAGTTATAATCTCCGACCCCAGAATTTTTTAATAGAATTGGATCATTTTTTTTATCGCTTGAAGCGCACGAAAGGGAATCCCTATAATGTTCAAAGAACATCGTGCGTTCCTAGGGAGGATAGGGATAGGAGGTAGGTATTGGATTTTTTTTGAACTTCTGGAAATTTTATGTTGTTGGAAATACTTCCACAGGCAATGAATTCCAGAGCCTAGCCGTTCTATGGATGAAGGAGTTTTGATAAAGTGCTGTTCGACATCTTTCGAGGTTGACAACGAAAGGATGTGCTGACTGGGCTTGTCTAATAGTTCGTTCGCAATATTGGGTCCGCCATCAAGAATTTCCCAATTTTGACAAAAAATCATAAAGTTCGACCCCGAAAACCCTCAGATACCAATCTTAAATAGAATCAGATCGTAATTAGAAATTTCTTTTGCTATATATTGGATCCGTCATCTTGAATTTTTCAAGTTAGACGAAACAATCATCATCTCCAATCCCGGAAAACCCCATATACCTTCCAATTTTGATCATAATTACAAAACTCGTTCGCCATATGATCTTCCCCAAAAAGTAAATACCCTGTACATACTCATCATTAAAATTTTGAATAATTTTCTGTAGCGCCCATGGATATGACGTGACAGCAATGTCAGGGATGCCAGTAGGCAAAACTAAAATCTCTAGATCATTAAAAAAGAATGCAGCTATGATCTGTCCGTACCCTGTTGAGATGACTTTAACGTCAAATTCCATCAAGGGACCCTAGTTGTTGTCTATATCAATACATCCAATAAACGAGCTGAATTGTCATTCTTTGACTGAAATGTAAAAATTAGTGATAATAATAATAGCGATAGATATTATGGAATCGGATAAAGAAGAAGTTTATGATATACCGCTGGATATATTAGAATCTAGGAAAATGATCATAGGTTTTTCATGAATTGATATGAGGATATAAGGTCATTGAGAACAGCGGGCGGTAAAGTGCACTTTACGGCCCGTGGGCCATAATGACCCCGCGGGCGGTAAAGTGCGACTTAACGCCCGCAAAACCAGGCGGTAAAGTGCACTTTACGGCCCGCTAGTGCATAAAATATTTTAATGAACATTGTATTTTCTTTACAGGCTCGCGGAACTCAATAATAATTATGGTAAACATTTATACAAAGCCAAGAAATACAGCCAAGCACTCGCATATTTTAGTAAAGCTATCAATAACTCTCCAAATACACCCACCTACTACGGAAATCGTGCTGCATGTTTCATGATGTTGAATAGGTGGGTCACATTTTCTTGAAATCGATAAAAATCCAAATATGTAAGAAAACTCTTCTTGTCAAAATACCATTAATCTCTAAAAAATATAGCATGTTTCATTCGGATCAAAAGTAACTAAATTTTGCTTTGATGACGCTTCGCCTCGCAACGCAAAATTCGCTTGTCAAACAAAGTGTCTCTTTTGATCCTAATAAAACAACCTTCCATTATTATTTTCTTCCTGGTCTTTGTCATCTAGGGATCTCCTGCTCCACCCATGTCGCAATTTCCGCGTGACCTATCACTGCTCCTCCGTTAGCCCAACTCCCAGAGTCCCGCATCCTCAGATAGGCCGCCATTGCTTCCCTACGCGCTATTTAAGTCGGCGCTATTTTGTCACGCGCTATTTGCTCCGCGCTATTTTGTCGCTCGCTATTTTGTCTAGCGCTGTTTGATAACAGCCAGCAATTACCTATCCACAGTTTCGAAGAGGCACTAGAAGATGTCAGGAAAACCGTCCAGCTGGATCCGAACTATCTTAAAGGTTATATCAGGATGATCAAATGTGGTATCGCAACGGGCGATATTGTGATCGCCAAGTATGCCTTGAAGAAAGTCCAGGAACTTCAAAAAGACATTTCAGGTAAAAAACTGCATAACAGATATACATAGTGTCCACCCCACTAAGCAAATTTGGAAAATATGTTGATGCAAGATTGTAGCAATTACTGAAATGGACGTTCAGCAACATTTCAAATGTAAATTTGTATTTGTAACGTTCCAGCAATGTCACAGTAAAATGTAATATTGCTGCAATGCTACATTATCAAACTTCACCCTTTGCAATATTGCTGATTGTCTGTTTCGGTTATTGCTTCAACATTGCATCAATAAAGCTTCCAACTTTGCTTAGTGGGATGAGAAACAGGTCAATCCTCAACCACATAAGTGCCGCTCTTGACGGAGGTACATTGAATCCCCCTAGAGCTGTATGTATTTGACACTTCGCTTTCGAAGTTTTTGTTTATTAAGAGTACGGCGATGCGGGCGACACTCGACAAGTGACAGGAAGACATAACCCATGAATTATTTTGAAGCAAATCATTCATTACGCCGAACTATCCAGGCAACCATATGACGAATGATCACGTCACTGTAACGTCCCTAATTGGTTATTTTTCGTTAGAGACGTCACACACCAATTTATGACGTCCAGTGAACGTCACTTAGACGGGTAAAATAAGACGTCAGTCTCATGACGTTGCAGGGACGTCCTGTCGACGTCCATGTTTCCTAGACCAAATCTAAACCATGTATACTTACATTGTGAAACCGTTAGTTTTGTGACGTATCTATATATACAGGATGGGCATTTTCAGTGTCGAAAAGTACTCACAAAAAATCTTTTTTTCATTAATTTTACACACATATATAGAAACTTGTACGTCTTGGTAATTTTATATAGATAGATAGATAGATAGAAGTATAACTCATTAAAACGAATCAACATGCAAGTTTTATTGGAATTATATATACCCAAAAAGTAAGAGAAGACTTTTTTTAAACTTTGACACCCTGTATATCTTGGAAACCAATCAAGCTATATATGTATATATACAAATGATAATATAGGTGTACCTACACTGAAACCATCACTTTAATGACGTTGCAGTGACGTCTCTATGACGTCTAACAATCACGTCGGTGTGACGTACCAATTTGGTGAGCTTCGTCATTCAGAAAATTTTTCAATAATTTTCCATTTAGATTTTTGATGAGTGACAAATAATGCATGAATATATGTTACTCAACAAAGTGAAGCTTAATTCGCCAACATCCTTTTCATTGCTATCAAACTATTTTTGGTTTGCTTACATATCGCCGACACAAACTACATAATTTTCGATACAAGCAGAGTCAACAATGTACAGTGTCTTTCAAAAGTATCGGAACGGTCTCATATTTCAGGAACGGCTTGAGAAAAATTCACGAAATTTTCTACAGGGTGATTATTGATGATGTCCGATTCAATGGTGGCATCGGCAATGTTGCCAAGTTCACAGTTTTTCAGATATTAGGAGTAACTTTATTTTTTCTAATGGAAACCCCATTTATTTTTATTGCAATTAATTAGGCGCCTCCTAATTACTTGAGTCCCTGATAATCAGATTCGTAATTAACGTGATTTTCGAAATATGACAACACAGCATTTTCGTTAAAAAGTTCTGGAACGGTCCCATATTTCAGAAACGGCTCAGAGAAAATTTATGAAAACTTCGACAGGATGGCTGTTGATGATGCCCGATTCAATGGTGATATCGGCAATGTTGCCAAATCAACAGTTTTTCAGATATTGAGGGTAACTCAATTTTTTCCAATGGAATACCCTATTTGTTTTCATTGCAATACATTCAACGACGCCTCATTACTTATGTCTTCAAATATCAAATTTTAAATAAGTGTGGTTTTTTAAATATGAGAACATGCTCCGTTGAAATGTCTGCAAACGGTCCAATATTTTCATAAGGGCTCGAGAAAATATCATGAAATGTTATACAAAATGGTTTTTGATGAAACAACTTTTTAGTAATTGAATTGAAAATATTAGAAGGTTCCCAGACTTTTCAACGAAAATGCCATGTTGTCATATTTCGAAATCCACTTCAATTTGAAATCTGATATCTGGAGACATGAGTAATGAGGCGTCGCTGAATGTATTGCAATGAAAACAAATAGGGAATTCCATTTGAAAAAATTGAGTTACCCTAAATATCTGAAAAACTGTTGATTTGACAACATTGCCGATATCACCATTGAATCGGGCATCATCAACAACCATCCTGTCGGAGTTTTCATAAATTTTCTCTGAGCCGTTTCTGAAATATGGGACCGTTCCAGAACTTTTTAACTAAAATGCTATGTTGTCATATTTCGAAAATCACGTTAATTACGAATCTGATATCCAGGGACTCAAGTAATTAAGAGACGCTCAATTAATTGCAATAAAAATAAATATGGTATTCCATTTGAAAAAATAAAGTTACTCCTAATATCTGAAAAACTGTAAACTTGGCAACATTGCCGATGCCACCATTAAATCGGACATCATCAATAATCACCCTGTAGAAAATTTCGTGAATTTTTCTCAAGCCGTTCCTGAAATATGAGACCGTTCCGATACTTTTGGAAGACACTGTATAGTCAATATCATATGTCATCAGAGGTCAGTGGTGATTATCACACCATGTTCGAGGAAACTTTTTTACGTGTCATCACAAAATTTGAACGTCATTTTGACGTCAGCACGACGTCACAGTTTGGGGAGTGAAAAACGTCACTAAACGTGAGTACTATAACATCATTGGGCTGTGACTTATTCACGTCATTTATCACGTCATACGACGTCAACTCCTGAGTCACCTTGGTCATTCAACTGACGTAAAAAGACGTCACTGAAACGTCTTCTAGTCGCCTGGGAAGAACATGCGAATATGTTTTTCGCTTAGATAAAGGCTTCTCGTATTTTCCTTCCTCTGTGTCTTTGTTTTTCATATAACCAGATGAACCACACGAAACCAACGCGCCTTCCAAACATTTTGCATCCCCATCCCATCTATTACCATTAAATTTTTGACTTTGAGACTATCATGCTCATGAATAGAAAGTTTTATACTAATATTTTACAATTTGTCATTCAAATCTTGGACTACTCTACAATAATTGCAAAAGTTTTGTATAACTTTTGTCATCAAAACTGTGAATTTAATCCAAAGTTGCCTGGATATTTGCGATTTCAGTGTTCTTGCATTCTCCTGAAGATATATTTTGATACTGCACATGTGATTCATCTAGAAAATAAAGTTTATATAAACATGTGTCCTAACTTGCTCCGTTTTTGAGATACAGGATGTTGAAGATGGAAGTATTGATTATTTGTATTTATAACCCCACTGTACCCAGCCAACCATGAGATTTATAAGTGATGTATACGCCACATCACTTTGTGACATGCGATATCGCATTTGAAGTCACAAACATGTTACCTATACAATGTGGCGATGTGAAAATGTCCGACTCAAGCAACATCACTGTGACGTCGTTCAGACATGAAATGTGACATCACATGAAAAATCACTACCAGGTCATATACAAGTGTACATTTCATATTACAAATACATCACCCTGCGACATCGATGATGTGGTCGCCGTACCTGTGACATTTGTGGGGTATATAATAATAATAATTATTCAACTTTACGAAGAAAATGTTTATTTTCCGAAAGTAAAAACAGATGATACAAAACTTATCATGACAATCACCCTAATTAGTGATCTTGAAGTAAAACATGACACATATATATAGCAATACAAATTTACATTATTCATAAATGATACATATATCAAATACACTTACATTATCTTGGGATCTTTCATCCACCTTGTTTCAGATTGCAATATTCCTATCTCAGAGATAATCACAATATTACCTATTGTGATTGAACTCACCGTCGTTCCTAAATGATTGTATACCTCCAATTTGAAGCTGCTATAATATGTGCTATAAATCATCTCAGATATTTCAACAGAGAATTTGGAAGGAAATAGTCTGTACGGAGTCGGACTCACTGACTAACTGACTGACTGACATGGCCATGCACAGCTCAACATGGCGTCTGGCGTGTGCGTTCGTTTGCGCATGTCTGCGTCACACTCACAGGTCACAAAGATATCTCATGAGGATATCAATGTGAATTATTTAGTTAACGTCGAAGAGATGTAGTTTGAAGAAGTCGCTGCCACATTATTACATAGTTTCCTGGTTGCGATGTCACCTTGCGACGTTGATATCGAATCTACGTCGATAAGATGTGTTAACGAGATATTGCATTTATGCAAGGTTGTTACATCACACAGATGTCGATGTCACACGATGGTTGGCTGGGATATGAGCTTTCATGTATGGATGGAGACTGAGAAAGCCCCAACATTTCAAAATGATTCTAAATGGGGTCTTGAAAACAACTTTAAAATTTGGAGTCAAATCGAATTTTTATTGATTCCTCTAAAACTAAGCTAGATAAAAAAATCACACAGAGGATAAAACAGTTGATATTTCAATAGTTCAATCTGATACAAATATGAAACTCAGAAGAGCCGGTGGTGTACAATGACATTCACCTTGAATACCGACAAATTTACCCACTGTGACGCCACTGGTAATATTATTTCGAATCTAATTGCACTAGAAGAAGCTCCATATCACTATTAACAAAACCACAACGTTTTATTGAAATTGATGAAAAGACAATTGAGAAATGAATAGTAAAAAGATTTTTCATGGAAATATTAATACCCTGTATCTCGAAAACGAAGCAAGTTAGGACTTTAGTTTATATGAACTTTATTTGCTAAAATATCACAAGAAATCACTCCTTGATTTTTTTTCATTGAAATTCAGATACACGTATAATAAATTTTTGTCTTAGTTATAGCCAACGAAGTAGAATTACTGGAAAAACTAAAACATAATGAAGCAGAGGCTTCCAAAGCATACAAAGAAGGCGATTTCAAGAAAGTCGTCATTTGCATGGAAAGATGCCTGGAAGTAGCATCCACCTGTGAATTCTATAAGATAGTCAAGGCCGAATGCCTTGTGTTCCTCGGCAGGTACCAGGATGCTCAGGAAATCACGGGCAGCATCTTAGAGTTGAATAGTAGGAATCCTGACGCAATGTATATACAGGGATTGTGTTTGTACTATGAAGGAAAACTAGACTGTGCTATCAAAAACTTTCGACACGTTTTGAAACTTGCACCTGAGCATTCGAAGGCGATGGATATCTGCAAGCGTGCAAAAATGTTACAGAAGAAAAAAGAGGAAGGGAATAAGGCATACAGGGCATATCGGTTTCAGGTATATTTTCGTTATTTGTTTTCATAAATGAAAAATTAATTAATTTTTCTATGAAAATCTCAAGTCTATATTGATATGAGTTCAAATTGTGTTCAGTTTCAACCAGGATTTCCCAGAGTCAATTTTTGGGACCACTTCATTCAGTGAAATATTGATAGCGATACCATTTCCATGCTTACTTTCACAAGAGTCTCCTCGTTATGAAATCTTCAGGAACGAGCGAGCCAAGTCTAAATTATATGTGTTGCATGTTCTCTAATATAAGGGACGAAAATGAGGAAGGATACTACTTTTTCTAAGCAATCTAACCTTACTCGGCCTAAATGAACCTTCTTCCTAGGAACAATATTTTTCGGAAAATCACTTGTGAATCGAACCCGAGTTGCCCACGTAGCATTCGTATTGAAGTCGTTTATTCTTTTTCTTCATAATATGCATAATATGCATTCTGATGCTCTCTACACACATTATTTGTTGCGTCCTGTCCCTAGGTGCTTCTGCTGCTGTCTACACCTACACCGCTTCGGGTTTCCTCATTCCTAAACATTTCATGATGGGGAGACTCTTGTCAAACTTTCCCCCATTGTACAGTGTGTCCCGTTTTCGAGCTTTTGCGTGATATTTCAGATATCTTTAGAGATACAACCTTGCGGTTTTCGCGGTCCTTTGCCAACTTTTTGTGGAACTTGTAATGACCTAGTCAGATTTTACATAATTGTTAACGATTATGAGATACAGGGCGAATATGAAATTTTTTTAACCCCCTCTCTATTTCTACGAAATTTATTATCAGAAATGTCAAACTGAAATCTCATCAAATAAAGAATTCCACGCAGAATCTATTGAAGCAGTATTTTATTTTCGGGGTATGGTTACCATACAAACGGTGGAACCAATATTTATTTATTTATTTATTTAATATTGATACATCCAGCAGGCTTACGCCCATTTACAGGTGTATGTAATAATACATGGTTATTAGTTGGATCGCTAAAAATATATACCTATATCTATACATAACTCGAAAAGAATATGAACTAAGATATGTGAAACTATAGTTCCTCAAGGCACCAAATAGTCTATGCTTGAATTGAGACAGCGAGAGAAAAAATATATCAATACTTTGTAAATTGTTGTAACTTCGGCACATTGTTATAAGGGGACAATGGAAGTGATGTTGTGTGTTGGGCACAGCAATGCGGAACGTTATATCTGATCTTGACACAGATCGTGGTACATTGAAATCAATCAGAGAAAGTAATGAGGATGAATCGATATGATTATGGATTATTTTATGCATAAAAGTTACATCGATTATTTCGCGATGTTTTTTAAGAGAAAATAAATCGAATTCGTTCAGCAATAGGTCATAGCTATAGTGTCTTTGAGGATACACGCCATATTTTTTATAGTATGCATATTTTAAAAACTTCCTTTCTCGCTTCCTTTGCACTGATTCAATGGCTTCGATATATTTGGAATGACATGGATTCCATACGACACTGCAGTAATCTAATTTACTTCTCACCAATGAGAAGTAGACACTGCGCAAAGCACCAAATGATTTGAACTCCTTACAGGTACGAATCAAAAATCCCAAAGACTACATAGCTCTGCCTATTACACTTTCTATATGAGTGGAGAATGTCAACTTTTGGTCAAAAAGAACTCCTAAATCTTTGAATTGTTGAACTCGTGCTATAGTTGTGAAGTATCCCTAGGAACGCACGATGTTCTTTGAACATTATAGGGATTCCCTTTCGTGCGCTCCAAGCGATAAAAAAAAATGATAATCGAATGAAATTGGGGTAGATTTTCGTGTGAAAGTCATGACTTTACATTTATAGGTATTCAAAGAGAGTTTATTTTTGAGGCACCAATCATTGATTAGATCAAGATCCAGTTGTGATAGTTGACAGTCATCAATAGTTTTAATTTCTCATTTTCATGTCATCAGCAAATAGTAGTTTAGCAGACTGGATACGATCACATATATCATTGATAAAAAGTAAGAACTGTAAGGTCCTAAATCGGAGCCCTGTGCGTACTCCTGAAGTTGTCTTGAATGTGAATGATTTGACACCATTATATTCTACGAATAACTTCCTATTTGATAGATTTTAATAGTAACTCATATGTCATAGGATATGCCGAAGCTAGACAATTTACCAGACGAGTTTTGTAATTGAAGATTACAGGGAAAAAGGGGAATATCACAAAAAGTAAGTTTCGAGAAAAACGCATTTCAAAGTTTAGAATCTCCTTAAAATTTGGAAGTTGAAGGAAACTGAAATCAAACCACCTGATGGATTCATTCGATGGAGATTGGAGTGTAATGAGCAATAAAGTTGAACAGCTAGAAATAAACATCATATTCAAATGGAAAAACATCGAAAACAAAAATTAAGTCCAGAGATTCAAGGTAAAAATGGGACAAGCCCAGTCAAAACACCTTTTTGTCGTCAACCTCGAAATATGTCGAACAACTCTTTACCAAGACTCGTTTATATACATAGAACGGCAAAGCTTTGACATGTTTCGCCTAACCGAGTATTCCCAAGAACTTAGAAGTTGAAAAAAATCACAATACCTACCTCCTCTCCCTATCCTTCCTAGATACCCACAATGTTCCCCGAACATTATAGGTATTCCCTTTGGTACGCTCCAAAAGATGAAAAAAGGTGGCCGTATCTCTTTTTTTCTCATATTTTGTTTGCCTGAGAGTTTACTTTGACCTTTTGACAGTGTGAAAACAACCTATTAAAATCACAATGGAATCTGTATTCAAGCAAGCACTAAGCTTGGACGTTCCCCTTTCTTCCCATTTTTGATTGATTTTTCGTCAAAATTAGGGAATTCAAGATTGTATATCCAGTATTGCGATTGTAATTATGTTCCGATTCTATTCAAAATTTTCATCTGGGGTTTTAGGAGTCGGATATTATGATTGGGAAATTCAAGTGAACTAAAAAGAAGTTGTAATGAATGTTAGTTTGAAAAACTAAAGAAACACGCTTTTACAGGTAGCAAAACTGAAAAGAAGTAGAACATAAAATAATAATGGTGTCTTGATGAATATTAAACTGAAAAAATATAATATAGAAATGATGTATAGGAATAGCAAAACAACGTTTGCGAGGTTTGCTAGTATTTAACATATTATTATTGATCACATGGAAGCAAAGTTGGGGATGAAATTTTGCTCTAAGTTTTTTTCATCTCTGTACTATCGAAACATTATTCCCAATTACAGGAAGCATGCAAACTGTATACAGATGCACTCGAAATTGACCCTTTGAACAGAAAAACCAACTCTGAATTGTATTTCAATCGAGCAACCGTTCTATCAAGTATGAAAAAAACCTTCGAGGCTATCGATGATTTCACCTCAGCAATAAAATTAGACGGAACATACCAGAAGGCTTTGTTGAGAAGGGCCAAGTGCTTCATGGATTTGGAGGAGTTTGATGATGCAGCGAGAGACTACGAGAAAGTCTGCGAGATGGACGACAATGAGGAAAATAAAAATATGTTGGAAGTTGCTAAGTTTGCTCTCATGCTAGGTAAATAATATGCTAAACAGGGTGATTCAAAATTCGTTGTGAATATTTCAAGTACATATCGTTGGGATTAAAATGAGACTTTTTTTTATTCATATAAACATGAAGCCTAAAATTCACCCCCTTCAAGCTACAGCCACTGTAAGTTAGGTAAAGAAGAAAGATAGAGTATTTTTGTTTTTATATAAACGCACTGTATCGTCTGCATATATGGTATGATTACTCGCTAAACCAACTTTCGTGATATTTTGAATATAAAGCATCAGATACAGTATTGGTCCTAAAACAGATCCTTGTGGAACACCTTTATTCACTGACAGTTCATGAGAGTTAGAATCAGCAGAGTTGATACTGGTTGTCCTATTTTCAAAGATATGTAGCTAAAATATTCCTAACAATGCCGCTGAGTCCCATGAATTCCAAGTTATCCAGAAGTATTGTGTGGTCCACTGTATTCAGATCAATGAATACAGCTACTATGTAATTTCCTTTATCAATTCCTTCTTGAATTGCTTCTATCACCTGTTATACTCCTTCTTGAGTTGATGATGATGATGATGATGATGATGATGATGATGATGATGATGATGATGATGATGATGATGATGATGATGATGATGATGATGATGATGATGATGATGATGATGATGATGATGATGATGATGATGATGATGATGATGATGATGATGATGATGATGATGATGATGATGATGATGATGATGATGATGATGATGATGATGATGATGATGATGATGATGATGATGATGATGATGATGATGATGATGATGATGATGATGATGATGATGATGATGATGATGATGATGATGATGATGATGATGATGATGATGATGATGATGATGATGATGATGATGATGATGATGATGATGATGATGATGATGATGATGATGATGATGATGATGATGATGATGATGATGATGATGATGATGATGATGATGATGATGATGATGATGATGATGATGATGATGATGATGATGATGATGATGATGATGATGATGATGATGATGATGATGATGATGATGATGATGATGATGATGATGATGATGATGATGATGATGATGATGATGATGATGATGATGATGATGATGATGATGATGATGATGATGATGATGATGATGATGATGATGATGATGATGATGATGATGATGATGATGATGATGATGATGATGATGATGATGATGATGATGATGATGATGATGATGATGATGATGATGATGATGATGATGATGATGATGATGATGATGATGATGATGATGATGATGATGATGATGATGATGATGATGATGATGATGATGATGATGATGATGATGATGATGATGATGATGATGATGATGATGATGATGATGATGATGATGATGATGATGATGATGATGATGATGATGATGATGATGATGATGATGATGATGATGATGATGATGATGATGATGATGATGATGATGATGATGATGATGATGATGATGATGATGATGATGATGATGATGATGATGATGATGATGATGATGATGATGATGATGATGATGATGATGATGATGATGATGATGATGATGATGATGATGATGATGATGATGATGATGATGATGATGATGATGATGATGATGATGATGATGATGATGATGATGATGATGATGATGATGATGATGATGATGATGATGATGATGATGATGATGATGATGATGATGATGATGATGATGATGATGATGATGATGATGATGATGATGATGATGATGATGATGATGATGATGATGATGATGATGATGATGATGATGATGATGATGATGATGATGATGATGATGATGATGATGATGATGATGATGATGATGATGATGATGATGATGATGATGATGATGATGATGATGATGATGATGATGATGATGATGATGATGATGATGATGATGATGATGATGATGATGATGATGATGATGATGATGATGATGATGATGATGATGATGATGATGATGATGATGATGATGATGATGATGATGATGATGATGATGATGATGATGATGATGATGATGATGATGATGATGATGATGATGATGATGATGATGATGATGATGATGATGATGATGATGATGATGATGATGATGATGATGATGATGATGATGATGATGATGATGATGATGATGATGATGATGATGATGATGATGATGATGATGATGATGATGATGATGATGATGATGATGATGATGATGATGATGATGATGATGATGATGATGATGATGATGATGATGATGATGATGATGATGATGATGATGATGATGATGATGATGATGATGATGATGATGATGATGATGATGATGATGATGATGATGATGATGATGATGATGATGATGATGATGATGATGATGATGATGATGATGATGATGATGATGATGATGATGATGATGATGATGATGATGATGATGATGATGATGATGATGATGATGATGATGATGATGATGATGATGATGATGATGATGATGATGATGATGATGATGATGATGATGATGATGATGATGATGATGATGATGATGATGATGATGATGATGATGATGATGATGATGATGATGATGATGATGATGATGATGATGATGATGATGATGATGATGATGATGATGATGATGATGATGATGATGATGATGATGATGATGATGATGATGATGATGATGATGATGATGATGATGATGATGATGATGATGATGATGATTGAATTTCATTTTGATACACCCAATATTATAGAAGTTATGGCTTGTCATTTTGGCTGAATTAATAATGTGAGGTTGTATTCATATTCATATCTAGCTTCAATGGAACGTAAGGATTACTACTATATCCTCGGAGTAGATAGGAGGGCCAGTCACGAAAAAATCAAAAAGTTTTATAAAAAGATGGCGCTATTACATCATCCCGATAGGCATGCCAAGTCGACGGAATATTTCAGAAAGTTGCAGGAGAGGAAGTTCAAAGAGATCGGAGAAGCTTATGCTGTTTTGTCGGATGCGAAGGCAAGAGCTCTTTATGATTTGAGATATACGATCTAGATGAATTGTAAGGTGGCATAAATGGTAAGTTTCAATCTGTTTTTCATGCACATTTTGATTCCAATAGATGGTAGATAGAACTTACGTACCTAGAATCTACAAATCTTCCAAAATGGCGTCTGAACACCGAACGAAAAACCGACTATTTCTTAAAGCAGAACATGTCTTTCCAAAGACACGGCTACTGAAATAGTTATTTATGTATTGAGGGAATTATGAGGGCCTTAATTACCGATGGCAAAGTTTGCGTCCCGAGGTCCTCTGGCCCGAGGTACAGCAATTGCCTGAGGTTATTAAGGCTCAGTAATTCCCGTGATACATAGATAATTTTATTTCTGACTGATTTCATTCATTAGATACCTTCCCGATTGGAAGTTAGACATGTTTTTCCGTATAGTTTCAATGTCATCAGAACGTCAGATGATGATCTTGACTACCGCGAATAGGAGATTCCTTATTGCTACGTTATTGCGTGGTTGTTGCTATGCATTTCTTATTTAATTTTAGCTAGAGGGAATTATAGCATCTATAACATCCCAAGGGAGTTATGACCCTCATTATAGATATCGTAACTATGACGATATAAGCTTATAATGTCACTGTCAGAAATAATAGTAGATTATACCACGAGTCAATAATGATAGCTATTATTCTCGAGGATTTTTTACGAACCGAGCCGCGTTAGCGGCGAGGGAGTAACATTCCGAGAGAATAATAGCCATTATTGCGAGTAGTATACTCTACTTTATTTGCGACTATATATATATAATTGTGGTTTTTGAAGTATAATGTCATATATTAATCCCGCAGGGAATAATGGCGAGGGATTAATAGTCTTTATTCCCTGCGGGATTAATATATGGCATTATACTTCAAAATCCACAAGTATAATATATTAGTCGTGAATAAATATTATTATGATGTAGTGGAAATGTAATTATAGTGAATGTTGCATGAATCTGCCTTCAGTTGTCCCTGAATCAATCCATGTCTGTTACAGCAGCTGAGCTGCAAAACTTTTGAATTACTCCCTTGAATAATTATTTTATTTTCAGATATTGTGCCAGCTCATATATTCAAAATAATTTCTCATTTGGAGGTGATAGACAATTCGAGAAATGGTGCTAGGTAAACGTACATGAGTGTATACATTCCAATGATTTAGAAGTATACTTTTCTTTTGGGTCCTATTTATACACTGAAAGAACATTTTGACCAATACATAGAAGATGGAATTATTTGATGTACAATTATTTATTTTTTGTGTTTTTCAGAAGAACGAATGTTATATTTTGTTGAGGTTTGTTGTTACATTGTTGGATTATTTCCTGAAGAAATACAATATTATTTTTACAACTCTATATTTCGATTTTTTTACCGGAATCATGATTCTGATATCTTAATCAGGGAAATCAGTAAATAAGTAGGTGACACGTTATAAAGTATCACTCCCTATGATATTTTCATCCTGGAAAGTAGAAAAAAAAAAAAAGAAATGACCTCACAGGATATTTTTTTGGTTCTAAAATCACGGATAAGATATTCAAGGAACAGCATTCATTTTATGAATTTCATATTTGATATCCTATATAATTCCCCTCCATTGGAAAGACCTTTTGAGGAGCTTTCCAAAAATACCCCACTCAAAATATGCATCTTCTGTATTTCTCAGAATAAGGGAAGGGCTCTCAAAACTATTAGTTTGATTGATTTTGGAAGTTTTTCGAGTGTAGGCCATGACAAAGATTAAAATATAGATTTTCGGTGACCACCAACAATGAGAACTGAATTAATGATTCCTGAATTTGGCAGCGGGAAAAAAGTGAATACATTTTCCCGGATATACAGGGTGTTTCAAAAAAATTTAACCTTCTTGCTAGGGTAGGTAGAACATTGCAAAATAAGTTGGGTTTGCTCAGTAAAAAAATGTCGTAACGGCATCCGTTTTCAAAATTATTTTTGTACACATTTTTCACGATTATTCTGAAACTACTGGTAACATGTAATGTAATGAAATTTTGTATGGATGTTTCTTGAAATCTGACACATCGCTTGAATTGGTTTTTATATCTGACTCTCATAGAGGGCGCTAGTTACACGGTTCGTACCGAGTAGTTTTGAACATAACTTTTTTGACGTTAGATTTTTCAATCCAAATATGATATGAACTTGAACATCATTCAATGGGGGAGACCACTGATTTTTTAAAATGACATTATCGTGACCTCTATACTGAAAAACTACCAGCGAATTAATTTTGAATTTTGTCATTCATGCTAAGACGATGGAAAAAATGAATTAGAATATGTCCATTTCAAAACTCACAATTCCTGCGCCATTTGAAATTTTGTCAATTCATTGGTGTGACTGGTGCGACGTCTTATTCCCAACACGCCTATTGTCCTTGAACTGACCAATCACACTGCAACACTGCAGAATGACGAGGTATATGCTGATTTCAAAACGATATAGATTCGATTCCCTTCAACTTTAACTCATAATATTGATTGTACATCAAACGTAAATCATGTATCGTCGATTGAAAGAGGTTTGAACGGATTTCTTCTCTCAGTGGTCTTCCCCATTTCACACCAAAAAGGTACTTCTGGTAAAACTCGATACTATTCCGTTTTCGGAATATGACGATTTGAAAATGATGAAGTGGTAACTGTTGCTGGTATAAAGCTATGTATTAGAGTGAGTATTATGAAAAATTATCACCAATTTATTGAAAACCGAAAACAACAATACATTTCTGATGCAAAACTGAAATACAATTGATGCTTTCTGAAATTCAATTGACGCTTTCTGAAATTCAAATGATACTTTCTGAAATACAATTGACACTTTCTGAAATTCAATTGACTATTCTGAAATACAATTGATGCTTTCTAAAATTGAATTGATTATTCTGAAATGCAATTAACGCTTTCTGAAATTGAATTGACTATTCTGAAATACAATTGATGCTTTCTGAAATGCAAGTGACTATTCTGAAATACATTTGACGCTTTCTGAAATTGAATTGACTATTCTGAAATACAATTGACGCTTTCTGAATTACAAGTGACTATTCTGAAATTAAATTGATGCTTTCTGAAATACATCTGGAAAAGGTGTAGTGTAGTGTTCTTTTCTAATGAGGCAGGAAACTTATTCCTTCAAGTTCAGTCGCATTTTTCGAAAAATAAAGAACTAGGTTAGAAGCCACAATAAATTTATTTTCAATAACATTTCTGATGTAGGTACCATGTACATTTATGATAGTGTTATAGTAAAATTAGGTAAACGAACAGTTTTTTCTTTATATTATTTACAGCAACAACCACATACAATCTCTGCGTCAAACACTTTTTCGTTATTGTTTTGTTCACCGTTTCGATCATCTATTTTGTCTTCTGTTTTCTTATTTTCTTTTCCACTCGATCTGTTATTCTTTCTAGTGTGCATTTTCACCTTACTGCAAGCCGGCTTATATTTCATTTTTTCATAATTAGGTTTTTTCTGTTCCTGATTTGACGTTGATGTACTAACTTTTCTGAAAATTTGAAATGGCATTCAAGTATTAGGTACCCAGAATAAAAAATATAGAGCATAGAACAATAATTCACACAATTCACAAAATTCGCTAAGACAGTAGCTTCGTCAGGTGATATACTGGTACAATGAACAGTTCATTGTACCTGTATATCTCCTGACGAAGCTACTGTGGTAGCGAAACATGTTGTGTGTTTAAGAATTTTGTGGAAATCTTATCGTTTGTGAAGTTTTTACATTTTGGCCATGGATTTCCATCAAGTAACTGCCGAGTCAATTCAAAATCTTTGACTAATTTCAAGAAAATACCTTCCATGAACGTATGTCCTGAAAGTCTCAACTTTTGGGATGCAGGGTGATGAAGTTTCGAAAATAACAGTTTTTTAATAATAATTGAGATAATATTTTGGACATCTTCATGCAATTTGGTACATGCATCAAGGTGCATTTTCTGATGTACAAAAAATTTTATTTTCTCTACCAGAGTTATGCCGTTAGGGGAATTCGGAAGGTTCGATTCTGCTGGGACAATGGGCACTATGCAAAGTCTACACCGTCTCTTGCGCCGCTTATTTGTCTATCTATAAATAATCAATTATCATAAACAAATTAGATATTTCGGCTGTAACGACGGATAGAATAAGAGGATAACTTTAATGCAGTAAAGCCTAATCTTGTTCCCAATTGTTGTTCTCTCTCTGACTGTCATGTCAGTCGATTTCGACTGACAAGCATTTTCCAGCTGAAGCCGCGCCCATTTGTCATTTTTCCACAATTTAATTCGGGAAGTGCCATTTACCCGTAAGAGTGCGGGAAAAGTTTTCCCACAATAGTGCGGGAAACACATTTATATAATATTCTCGCAAAATATGAGTGGTGGGTGACACAATATGAACATTTCAGGTTTTTTTGTTGCAGTATTCAGTAAGTTTGTACAAAATAACCCATCAAATTGCACTATTTATTGTGAAAATGAAGAACTATCGAAAAATATTAATTGATTGTTATATAAATCTCCCTATAGCCTTTAATTGATTTGATGTGGGAACCAATTGTTGTCATGTCAAAACACGAATTAGTTCGTGTAATTCTCGGAGTGACAGACAGAGCGTTACTGTCGTTTTCGATTCGGTGAAATTGCGATGAAAAACTTCCAGCTACAGATGCGATAGAGATGAGTTATTGCCAGTGAAGTCTTGAGAAAGATATGAGAAGCAATACACGGGATTCATTGAATGGTGCAATAGTAAAAAAGTGAAAACACCAAATGAAGAAGAAGTATTTTTAGCTCATTCCCGGAAATGTCTGAAATCTAGAGGCCAAACATCATGGGCATGCTGGCTTCCGCAATAACCCAGGTAGCACATCATATTGGCTGGAACCCGATTTCATATTGGGCCGATATAGATATATCGTACATGTGAAAAATAATATAGGTCCAATATGAGAGTATATTGGACAAACAATATTGGAATGATAATATTGGTGGAATATTGGTTCAACCTGAGCTGAATATGGATTGTCAGCTACAATATTGGAGCAATATTGGTTGTAAAATTCGTTAACAATGTGTTGAAAAACATATCTATGAATGTTATATAATATTGTTTTACGAATGTCGATACAACAACATCGTATACATATTGTTCCCGACATTTACAACCAATATTGCAATTTGAACATTCTCCCCATGTCGATTCTGAAGCGGTTATGCAATATTGTATTTTCAAGTTAAACGGCATATCGGTTGGATATTGTTTTAACAATATTTGAAACATTATATTCACCCATCTTGATTGATATCATTTTATCTATATCATGCGGAAGATATCGTATACAATTTGCTTCTTACATTTATAACCAATATCGCGATTTGAATATTGTCCCCATGTTGATTCTGAAGCGGTTGTGCAATATTGTATATTCGAGTTCGACGGCATATTGGTTGAATATTGTTTCACAATATTCGAAATATCATATTCACCTATCTTGATTAATATCATTCTATCCATATCATGCGGAAGATATCGTATACATATTGTTTCCAACAATCATAACCAATATAGCAATTTGAACATTCTCCACATATCGATTCTGAAGGGGTTTTCAATGATTCAAATATGAATATCAATAACGGCAATTCAATATGTATCTCATATCGGACATAGAAGAGAAAAACAATATTGTATTTTCAAGTTTAATTGCATATCGGGTGAATAGTTTTCTAGCCATATTCAGAAAATAATATCATCTTATATTGGCTGATATGTGATTCACTATATCATGTAAGCAATATTGTTCACATATTGTTTTGAGAATACATATCGATATCGGAATTTCGATATTCATTCCATATTACGCACTCCTAAACCGATGTCGATAGATGGCGCTATAAATGATTGGTAACGTACAGGGTGCGCCTCTTAAAATGGAACCCCCCCTTAACACTTTTGTTTTCGGAGATATAAGAAAATGTTGAAAGAAAAAGTTGTTTGAAACGACCAAAACTTTCATTTCGTGAAGTTGTTTTATATACAGGGTCATTCGTTTTTCCAGAAAGAACATCAACTTTGATTTTTTCAATGAAACACCCTATATATTTTCCAACATGTCGATAGAGATTTTTTTTTTGATTCCAAAAATATATATAAGTTGCATAGTCGGATGAAGAATAATTGAGTTATTGATGATCAAAGTTGACCAAAGTATCGTTCATGAATTCTCACTTTATATCATAGTTGAACATAGTGGGCTTTGAAAAAATATTCCATGGAAAAGTCAATTAACTACAAATCATCATGTGGATAGATTTGGTATCACACTATA